GAAGTCTGCAGATATACCGGGATAACTCTGTTTTAGAACATTATCATTATCATTAGATTATTATATAATTCTTTGTCAACATGGTCAAAGTTTGATTTTTTTTTGGCAAATATTGGTCAATACTGCACAACTATGGTCCTTTTTAATACTGATCTGATTTTTGGTAATTACTTTATCTAGCCCATGTGCTCAGGTGAGCAACATGGTCAATGGGCCTCTTTTTCTATTATTTATCATGTCTATAGCATTTTGAACTGTGTCTAGATTTGCTGCTTGTCGGAAAATGTTTTAATACATTGCAAATTTTTCCTCATATAATATAAACATGATAAAATAAAATTTTCTTATTGGTGCTTAAGGAAGGTCTGTCTATCACTGTATAAACACACTGTCGGGGCTTTTATGGAATTTGATCATGTAACCATCCATATTTTATATCTATAACTGTCAAAAAATTAATCTTATATTATTACAGTTCTCAGGTTAGCTTGGACTTTAAGTAAGGCGTGGCATTCTCGGTGCAACATAATTAGCGTCTCTCAAATGGCAAATAGATTCTCATTGGTTAAGAAATTAATAACAATTTTGCAACTTTTTTAAAATTGTTGTTGACAACAATGAGACAACTTAATTATTAATTAAGCCCCACCTCTGTGCCATGCGAGAACTTTTAATTGGATTTTTGCGACACCAGATGACATTGGCCAAATTTCTATCCTATGTATAGGTCAACAGTGAAGGAAAGCTGTGTAAATTTCAGAAGCTAATTGTAGGTAACGTCGAGAATGCCATATGCCTTACTGAAAGTCTAAACTTAACTGGAAATTGTCCTATTATTAACATCATATATAGCTAAACTTAATTCTTCAGATTTTGGAACTAGCTAATGATTAATCAAGTTAATTGTAACAAAATTTGTAAATCTGAAGCAAGTAAAATGCCAGATATCTTTTACTACCACATCACCTTGCAGGTTATATTTGTCCTATTAATAGTTTATCTGTTTTTAGGACCAAAGATATATGGACAAATTCAAAAGTGTTATAAGCAGCAACTCCTCCAAGTCTAGAGAAATCTTCCAAGGTATGTATTGTGTATAATTAATTGTATAATATTAATGGATAAGGTTTATACTAATCAAGTTTGCAACTTTTTATGACATTTAAATAATGCATATTTGAAAGTTTATGTTGCATGTATTTCATGGTATAAATCACAAAAGTCATCATTTTAAAATTACTAGAGCTGAAGCAATTGTTCAAACATTCGCGAATGAATAGTTTTTCACAAATATTCGAATAGAAAATTTGTATTCGAATATTCGGCCACAAGTTTAATGGCCGTTTGTCATGCAATAAAATATACAGCATCCAAGTTTTGATCACAGATTATATATATATATATATATATATATATATATATATATATATATATATATATATATATATATATATATATATAAAAACCAACCCTCATCATGTTATGACAAGCTTTATTTAAACCAGCTGTCATCATGTTACAACAAGCTTTATATGAACCAGCTCTCATCATGGCATGACAAGCATGATATAAAACACCTTTTATCATGGACTGACTAGCAGTATATAATTTACATGTAGGTTTGATTTTATCACAACATTGAATGTGTATAACCAACTCTGATCTTATCTGGTCATGCTATACAGAAGTGTATAACTCAGCTCTCATCATATCACAGTTTTACTGTATACTGGGAAATTTTCGCCCCATTTTTTTTCCCCTTTCGCCCTACCTTCATTTGGGTGAATATAGATTCAAAGAATACAGTATAATTTCTCATACAAAACTATGACTGGGCGAATTGAAAAAGGGGCAGAATTGTTTGCAAGTGTTAAAGGGTGAAAATAACACTGGGCGAAAATAACCGTGTGTACAGTATATGAACTAGATCATATTATGTCATTGCATTATATACTAGGTCTTATCAAGCCTCGGCAACCATTTTACTTTATCATTTTCTCTGAATTCCTAGATTACTCTTCTCTGGCGAAACACCTTGGTTTCCAGCCACAAGTACAGGGACCAGGACCCTCACAATATCAAGGTACAGTATTACTTGTATAAAACATATCAGAATTTCAGAGTCTCTGTAATGTATTCTGGCAGCATTTTAATTTATTCATTTAAAATTTGTTTCTTATTAAGGAGAAGACCAAAGTGGCTGGTATTAACAAAGGAAGTACCCAGGCAATTCATTAGAAGAAATGATAGGTAAAGACATTCAATCATACAGGTTAATTGCATATCAACAAAGCTTACCTGAGCTGAGAACTCAAGTCAGCTTTCCTGATCAGATTTTAACTTTTCAAAGTTTTATACAGAAATATTTAGGTAAAAATCATCTCTCAATAGTTTTATTGATATGAATGCATCCACACATAGTGTAGATTCAAGTTTGTTGGAAATCATGGCCCCTTGGGGTAGAATTGGGCAACAACAGGGGATCAAAGTTTTACATAGGATTATATAAGAAATCATTGTACTGTATATCTATTGATATATTTTTTCGTACGTCGTCGTGCGTTAACATTTGAACATTTTCATCTTCTTCTCTGCAACCACTGAACCAACTTCAACCAAATTTGGCATAAAGCATCCATGGGTGAAGGGGAACAAAAATTGTGAATTTTTTGATCCCTGCCTCCCTGGGGCCTAAGGGGTGGGGCCAAAACCACTAAAATTAATGCAATCTATAAAAATCTTCTTCTTTACTCCTGTACATCAAGCAGTCAAACTGTTTGCATGATTGTAATCAGCATTGAGTCCTCTACCAAAATTGTGAAATTCATGGCCCTGGGGTCAGGGGTTCTAGTGCTACGGCGGGGCTAAAATGAGTATATAGTGAAAATGCATTATTTCTTTGAAAATCTTCTTCTCTGCTCCTGGGTATTAAATAGACTAAGTACATAGTAATGATAAGCAAGAGTGCCTCTACCAAAATTGTGAATTTTATGGCCCCAGGGTCAGGGGTTCTGGTGTTAGGGGTCTATTGATTATTTATTATACCTCTATTGATAATACTTGAATTTGATTGGCTGGAAAGAAAAACTTTAAAACACAACAATGACTCCAAATGGTACTGTTTACAGCAATAATGACCTAGGAATCATTGCACGTGGGATATAATGACCCAGTCATTATAATTAATGACCGCTAAAAAAATGACCTCTTAATCAAAAAATTCCTTTTTGGGTGAAGTTAATGTATAAGATAATAATTAGTCGAGAAAAACAACGTTTTTAAAAATAGTACATGGTCTGTTTTACATAACCATACAGAATACGGGAAAATTTTATCGTTAACTTAAACGGTTTTACTCATTTCAAAATATCTTTCAATGGAATGTAGAAGCGATTCTTTAAAGAGTTGAATTCTGTGTTGAATTTTGACTGTAGAGTAAAAGTAATCGGTAGTTATAACAATGTATGTCGCTATCAGCCAAATTGTTTTAATCAGTAAATCATGATGCAAAAACTTACACGACTTGCAGACGTCAATGTAAACAACTTGGAAGTGTAGCGAATCCCGATCCCGATCAAAGAAAGAATTGATAACGATTAGAGATTCATACTTTTCGTTATATATATCGGTATAATAAAACAATTGATTACCCCTTGTGAGTTCAACATGGTGAAATAAGGACCCTCGACCTGGCCCACTCGATGACCTGCCCTGACCTCGGCCGCTACGCGGCCGTGGTTAGGTCAGGTCACCTCATGGGCCAGGTCTCGGGTTTTTTCACCATGTTTACCTCAAAAGGGGTAATTAATTGTATAATAGTTAAAAAACATGAATTCTGTGAAAATGTTCTTCTCTGCTCCAGGGTATTAAATAAACTAACTAAGTACATAGTTATGATGAGCAAAAATGCCTCTTACAAAGTTGTGAATTTTATGGCCCCAGGGTCAGGGGTTCTGGTGTTAGGCTCTATTGATTATATAGTTAAACAACATTATATCTTTGAAAATTTTCTTCTCTGCTCAGGGTATTAAGCAGATGAACTACCTATATAGTTATGATGGACCAGGGCCCTAATTTTCTAGAATTGTGAATTTCAAGGCCCCAGGGTCAGGGGTATCATAGAGGGGGGGGGGCTGTACTTATATACTGAAAATGAATGAATTGTTTGACCTGCTCCTTGGTATTAATCAAATATTTTTGAAAAGCAAGTGTGCCTTTTCAAAAATTGTGCAATGTGTAGACCTAGGGTCAGGGGTTCATGTGTGTTAGGGACACATCCAATTATTTCTGAATATTACTAATTAGTTGAAATGCATTCTTTATTTCCCTACCCTGCTTATGGGTATTAAGTAAACTAAACAATTGCTAAGTGTATAGTTATGATGATCAATGCGCAGCACTGTTAAGGCTTACTATGAGAAATCAACAGAAAATAGAAGTGCAAAAACGGGTATTGTTAGCTCTACTGGTCAGAGACCAGAAGAGCTTATGCGATAGTAAGGTGTCCGTCGTCCGTCCTTTTGTCTGTCCGTCTGTCTGTAAACAATTATTCAAAACGCTACTCCTCCTACAGTTTTGGTCTGATTTTAATATAACTTGGCACACAAGTAGACTACACTAAGATACATAGAATAGTGCATCGTTTTTTTATTTCAATGAACGGTGTTGCCATGGTTACTAAAAATAGAATTTTCTGTGAAATTCATTCAAAATGCTACTCCTCCTACAGTTTTGATCTGATTTCAGTATAACTTGGCACACAAGTAGACTACACTAAGATTCATAAAATAGTGCATCGGTTTTTGATTTCGATGAACGATGTTGCCATGGTTACTAAAAATAGAATTTTCAGTGAAATTCATTTAAAATGCTACTCTTCCTACAGTTTTGATCTGATTTCAGTATAACTTGGCACACAAGTAGACTACACTAAGATACATAAAATAGTGCATCAGTTTTTGATTTCAACGAACGGTGTTGCCATGGTTACTAAAAATAGAATTTTCTGTGAAATTCCTTTAAAATGCTTCTTCTTCTATAGTTTTGGTCTGATTTCAATATAACTTGGCATACAAGTAGACTTCACTAAGATATACATAAAATAGTGCATTGATTTTTGATTTTGATGAACGATATTGTCATGGTTACTAAGAATAGAATTTTCTGTGAAATTCCTTTAAAACGCTACTTTTTCTACAGTTTTGATCTGATTTCAATATTACTTGGCACACAAGTAGACTACACTAAGATACATAAAATAGTGCATCAGTTTTTGATTTGATGAACGGTGTTGCCATGTAACTAAAAATAGAATTTTCTGTGAAATTCCTTTAAAACTCTACTCCTCCTACAATATTGGTCTGATTTCAATATTACTTGGCACACAAGTAGACTATACTAAGATATATAATACAGTGCATCGGTTTTTGATTTTGATGAACGGTGTTGCCATTGTTACTTAAAGTAGAAATGTCTGAAATTTCTTTAAAATGCTACCTCTTTTACAGTTTTGGTCTGATGGCAATGGCTTCTTTTTCATCCTTTATTATAAGTAAACAACCAGTAGAGCTACAGTCTCGACAGAGACTTCTGGTTTTTAAAACTGAATTTATTTTTATTCAGCTGCTCTATTATCACAGAACTTAAATACTTATGGAAATAGCATTGTATAACCTACTCTGTACTGTATTGAGTTTGGTCCCATCGATGGACAGTCAATTGATGAATGCATAGTAGGTACACGGAATGTAGGTCAATAACAAATTTCAATATCGCAAGGGCATACCCTAGTTGAAATTAAAGATTCAAACTATTAATTGTTTCTGCATATTTTGTACTTTCTGGAAAGTTCTGCTGCTTTGAATAGAATTCGCATTTTAATAGTTATAATTTCAAGTAAATAGGCTGATGTCGAAATATGTTTGACTTTTACCAAATATTTTGTGTACTTATGAAGTCATGCTCTAGATTTAAAGAAAGCAGCAGCACTTTTCAAGTTAAGAAACATATCCTTTATTTATATTCAAAAAATGGTAGAGATTTATTAAGTGTATGCCCTTGCGAAAAAGCGATTTTATGAGGCACCTCGATGCAAAATTAGACTGAAAAAGCGAGAAATTTTCGCGAGGTGAGGCCATCACGAAAATTTCTCGCAGCGAACCGGTCCTTCAAGTCTCTGTGTCTAAAAGGAAATTCAAAAAGGTTTGATTGCAAAAATTAATCGTCGCGAACTAGTTAACCCCTGAACAGTTGGTTTACAACCTAACCTGAACAACAAAATTATTTAAATACATTCTCTCAATAGTTGATGAATGATCGCACTTAACAAAGGATATACATTGGTATTATTAGCCTATTAAAAACTATAAATAATATTCTGTTTTATAATAAAACGCACTTTTCATTGTTAAAAAATTCCCAAATCTGCCTCCTACAGTACATGAAATACGTCATTTTTACCAAAATGACGTCATGATTGACAAGTTCATCGAGATCAGTGTTTTGTTCATAAACAGCTGTATGGGATTTAACTAGTAACTTATTTTAATGCATTAATAAGTTTAATTGTTGTTTATTATGCTAATACAGTTTAAAGTTGCAAATTATTTCATTTTTCGGGTAATATGATGAATGCGTAAAAGTAACATTTTTGTGTGACGTCACAGTAAACTTTTCCCGTATAAATTAGGCCCCGCCCCTTTTTCTAGCCTTAACAGTGCTGCGGGTGCCTCTTTCAAAATTGTGAATGCCATAGCATCTGGCTTAAAACATGAATCAAATTCAATCACTGGAAAGTTGTTGCATGGTGACCTATAAGGCCCATGGGCCTCTTGTTTTTTCAATCTCAACCCCTGTAAATAAGGCTTGGCCACAGAAGCTGAAAAAATGCAGAAGAACACATGTACATTAATATTTTGGGGGAGGATATTTATTAAATACATATCTAGAATAGCAGGGCTAGAGTACATTGTTAACTCAGGTGAGATTGTGGCCCATGGACCTCATTATCATATCACTGTCATCAGGAGAAGTCTTATTTCAACACATGAAAATGATATATATTTTTAAGTTGTAAATGCAGTGCTGGCATTGGTAATATTCAGTTACTCATAAAACAGTATTTTATTGATCATGATAAAAATCTTTTTAGCTATATAAATCTATAATGTTTTCAGATTCTTTGGTGTCCGCAGAAGACAAGTGTAAGAACACTGATTTATATGAGACAATATCACTGCAGTGGATCGTTACTCATGACGAGATCCTGGAAATCCTCAATTCAGGACTAGTTCCTCCCTGTGACTTCCTCAGCGGGGGTAAGTATCCTCAGGGTTAGTTCCTCCCTGTGACTTCCTCAGTGAAGGTAAGTATCCTCAACTCAGGGCTAGTTCCTCCCAGTGACTTCCTCAGTGGAGGTAAGTATCCTCAACTCAGGGCTAGTTCCTCCCAGTGACTTCCTCAGTGGAGGTAAGTATCCTCAACTCAGGTCTAGTTCCTCCCAGTGACTTCCTCAGTGGAGGTAAGTATCCTCAACTCAGGTCTAGTTCCTCCCAGTGACTTCCTCAGTGGAGGTAAGTATCCTCAACTCAGGTCTAGTTCCTCCCAGTGACTTCCTCAGTGAAGGTAAGTATCATCAACTCAGGTCTAGCTCCTCCCAGTGACTTTCTCAGCGGAGGTAAGTATCCTCAACTCAGGGCTAGTTCCTCCCAGTGACTTCCTCAGTGGAGGTAAGTATCCTCAACTCAGGTCTAGTTCCTCCCAGTGACTTCCTCAGCGGGGGTAAGTATCCTCAGGTTTAGTTCCTCCTAGTGACTTCCTCAGCAGAGGTAAGTATCCTCGCCTCAGTTTATGAGTTTATTCTGATCCTTACAAATGTCTTCCAATAGGTTCTGCATTTAATCATGTTAATGTCTGGAATAATGAGTCTCCACTGTATATGATTTTTCATTGTAGTTTGAATTGTTCAAGGCAAAGCAAAGAAAACATATCTCAGTTCGAAATTAACTGTTTAAAGTACTAGTCTATACTGATTAGCCACATTTAATTTTGTTAGCCATTAAAGCAAATCACCAGTCCACTAATTATCATAAAAACGAGATGCTAGAATCTACCATTATCTCATTACAAATTTGTATTCCACTTGAACAAGTTTAATTACTGAACTATCAGAAATAAAACAAAAATAATAAAGAAAAAACTTAAGGTATTTTTTAACTGCATATACACACTTTGCCATATCCATTGTATTTTATCCTATATTTTACCTCGTAGTGTTATAGATGACAGTGATGTTTATTTTATTTAGGTTTAGATCCAGATGATCCAGTTCATTTTAGAAAATGTTTAGAAGATTTAGAGGAGAAGATGATGAAAGAACAAAGGTAATTCATGTAGTAATCACCCTCACTTAAGATTTTAATAGTCAGATTTGGCCGCAGAGGATCACTGCTCGGTAAAAATATATGTGTTGACCTATAGGGCTGATATTGGTTCCCCTCTATAGGAAAAGCGTGTCAATGTCCGTATCCGTCAATGACTTTAGGCCACATGCATGTAGTTTTTTGTATCTCATGCATCACTTTAGATCTAGTCAACTGTATGTTCATCTGACCCTCCCTCAGTATTTACAGATACATCCTTTGTATGAAGCTTTGTATACCTGATGCCTGGATTTTGGCAACGTCACATACTACCTAACTGATTCTGCCACAATCTTTTCTAATCTGTAAACCTTCCTACTGCATTTTTGGCATAAAATGTTGCAATTGCACACATTTTTCACAAGGAATGAACTGCATCTACTCTGCATTCTCTCTCCCACGGCACAATAGTACCATTACCCAGAAATGTATAATATAATTATTATAAAATAGACTTGAGTCTTGTGGGTATTGTCATGATACGATACATATCACAATTACCAATGTATATCATGATACAATTAAATATACAATGTAAAGCAGAAAATTGTTTCTTTAGTTCTGTATAATGAAATAATAATGGTAAAACAGTATAACATCATGTGTATAAAAGCAATTTTATTGTATTATTTGGAAAAGGAAACTTTATTTACTCAATCACTTACAATAGAAATTAATTTTTAAAGATTTTCAAATGCCAGATTTAAATTCCACTATGCTCATTTCGCTTTTAGATGCCATTCTCAAAAACCTTTAATTATTGTTTTTTTTATAGTTATAAAACCACTTCTGGTATCATGTTTCCAGATTGACGATAGGTCATACCAGTATCATTGAGACACACGATTAGTACAATCAGTATAATATTGCTGTATCAATACAGCTCTATTTTAAAATAATATTTAAATATATAATTATTTTCATCTATTTAGATTTTTGTATGTATACTGGTATGTACTTAAAACTGATGTAGAATGTTGACCTCTAACAATGAATGCTTTGTTTTAGGTATGACATTGCGCTGTCACACGTTCAGGGTATGAAACAGATTTTTGCTGCATGTACCAGCTCCAGCAGTTTACAAAACCTGTTAAAAAACAGTGACCTTGACCTGCTTAAAATGGTCTACCTGAGGTCTTGGTCAGGATCTAGTATGGACTCCTAGAGAATTTGAAAATACCCGTATATGGATATTTTGAGAATCTTCCTTGTGTTTAGAGAGATAGAGAGTGAGTTGATACCGGTGTGTACATCTTTACAATTTATAATGGAGAATACTTCTATTGTATATTTTTAGCTAATTTGAAAATCCTATTTATTGTGGAAATTACGTTGTATTGTACTTTTGAAGTTGATTTTTTTTATTTCTGGAAATGAATGCAGGCAGTTGATTTTTTTTAATTCTGGAAATGAAATGCAGGTAAATTAATGTTGATGTATATTTCTTGTTTATTTGCCTTTTGTCCTTTTAAGCTCACCTGAGCCAAAAGCTCAAGTGAGCTTTTCTGATTGAAATTTGTCCATTTTCTGTCATTGGTGTTGATGTATTCTTAAATTTGCTACAATGAATTTAATTCAGAAAATATATGAAAATTCAATAAAGCAAGTTGTTGAATTCATTTTAACAAATTCATTTCGTTATATCAAAGAATTTGTTCAAATGAAATTCATTACACCAGATATTAGAAATCTATATTACTGTTACCAAATTAAAATTTGTTATATCAAATTCAAAATTTTTAAAATTTGATTTTTTACAACAAATTCAACAATTTGTTATATTGAATAAAAAAATATCATTTGATAAGCCCTTATTGAGTTTCTGTACAGGTTAAGGTTTTTAGTGTACTTCTGTACTGTGCATTATTCAGAGATGCTTAAGCCCTGTATGTTGACCAACCTTGCATGGTCTGATTGGATGATTTATCAAAGGATGCACACTACTAGATTTCTTCAGATATGGGCTCAGACCTACATTTTCCAGTTGAGTGACCATCTTAAAGATTTTGATGGTGATTCATTCTAAAGCAACCAGAAGCCATATGTTACCGGAACTAGTATGGTACTGCCATGGACTTGATTTTCCAGATGACCGAGGGACCATTATAATTAAGGCTTTTCTTAAACAAACTTGCATGGATGATGCATCAGGGGGTGAATGTTCTTAAAACTTGATTCATATGCTGGATTTGAATTATATTTTCTGGATGAGTGACTAAGTTCCCAAGTAACTGCAAGCCCTATCAGATCAAATTGCCTCTTGGGATGTACACTTTTAGATTGTTAATGTGGGACTTTTTCTTACTTAGAAACGACATTTGTTGAGATAAGTTTTGTAATCTTTGATTACCTATGTTTTAGTATCTCTCTATGCATATTTATCTGTTTATATGCACTTATTTCATATTCCTATTCATTTGTGTTTGTTAATACTTTGTCTTTTTTTTTATATCTTTTTATCTTAAAATAAAAATTGAAATCATTTCTATAATTCATTATAATTATGAATACTTGTCATTGTCAACTGTTTCACATTTTTAGCTCACCTGAGCCGAAGGCTTAAGTGAGATTTTCTGATCACATTTTGTCCGTCTGCCTTCCGCCTGTCCGTCTGTAAACTTTTCACATTTTCAACTTCTTCTCAAGAACCACTGGGCTGATTTTAACCAAACTTGGTACAAAGCATTGTTGGGTGAAGGGGAATTGAAATTGTCAAAATGAAGGCCAGGTCTTCTTACTAGGGGAGATAATCAAGAAAATACAAAAATAGGATGGGGCATTAAAAAATCTCAAGAACCACTGGGCCAGAAAAGCTGAAACTTATGTGGAAGCATCCTGGGGTAGTGTAGATTTTAAATTGTTCAAGTCATGACCCCCGGGGGTTGGGCAGGGCCACAATAGGGAATCAAAGTTTTACATAGAAATTTATAGGAAAAATCTTTAAAAACCTTCTCAAAAACCACTGGGCCAGAAAAGCTGAAACTTATGTGGAAGCATCCTGGGGTAGTGTAGATTTTAACTTGTCCAAATTATGACCTGTTGGGTACGATGAGGTCAAAACAGGTATTACAAGGGCGGAAGTCTTGTTAAGAATAGCACGGTCAAAGCTTCTCAGGTGAGCGATGTGGCCCATGGGCCTCTTGTTGATAATTGTTAACATTTGTAACCATGACCCTTTTGAGAGGACTTGTACTAAGACAATACCTAATGTTTTAATTTAAAGTTTTTTTGAAATTGGTATTTTATTACATGTATATAAAGTCAAATAACATAAGTAAATGGACAATACCTAATGTTCGTTTCACTTACTAGTATGTTATTTGACTTTACATAATAAAATATTGATTTCAAAAAATACTTTAAATTTGTTCAGTACAAGGGAAACGTTCTAGAAGTAAAAGAGCAATATTGCAATAAGACTGCAACTGTAGCAGTAGCTTTTAATAAAATTTTAAAGAATTTTCAATTTAGTTACCATGGCAACATCATTGTTTGAAATAAATTTTTAAAAAGTAATAAAGACAATAATGTATCTTAGTGTAGTTTATCTGCATGCCACATTATATCATATTCAAACAAAAACTGTATTTGTGATAGCATTTTTAAATTATTTTAAAGAAATTTCTATTTTTAGTTACCATGGCAACACCGTTCATCGAAATCAAAAACCGATACACAGAATTATGTATCTCAATGTAATCTGCTTGTGTGCCAAGTTATACTGAAATCAGACCAAAACTGTAGGAGGAGCAATTTAGGAAAGCATTTCACATAATGTTTTATATTTTAAGATTGAAATCAGACAAAAACTGTAGGAGGAGTAGCATTTTGAAAATATGTTTACAGACAGACAGCTAGACAGACTGACTGACGACGGACGCATTACATGTACTATCGCATAAGCTCTTCTGCCATGGTCTCTGACCAGTAATATGGCACACCAAATTCACAAAAATGAGCTAAACATAGTTTCATAGTCGATAAACTAGGTTTTCGGCTGTAAACTATAGTTTACGGCGACACAGTAGGGAGGAAGACGGAAGCCAATATTTTCGTGTTGGGGCATTCACAAATTACCCCCAGTATTTTAAATTGTTCTCCATTAAAAAAAATATATATTTTTAAGGTTCTGAAACCACTAACTTTTTAAACCTAATACATGTATTTCAGGAATTGAACCAAATTTGCATGGATCATGTAAAAATTCTACGTTTGTCAACTTTCCAGTTTATGCTTCACGGTGTCGTTTTAACTAAACGAGGGAAAAAACACTTTTTACCCATTTTTGGCTCAAATTTGTACTTAGACTGAGAGTTTTTCAAAGCAAACATAATTGTATTGTGTTTTGAAAATCATATTTATTTGATTTGTTTCAAAAATGTAGTCACTTATTAATTTTATTGCATTTGACTATTTTTGCAAGTCTTTGTGTCAAATTTTTAAATAAATTCATTGTTCTATAGTAATTTTGAGAAGCAGAAAAGATGCTTCTATACCCAACAGAAAATTTAGTCCCTGTAAGACTTTAAACACAGTTTAACATTTCTATTTGATATTGTACAATTATGACGAGGAAAGAAAAATATGATCTTTAAAACCTTACATCTAAATATTCATGTATAGCACATAAAAGCAAAAACTATGGAACGCCATCACTGCCTTATAGCATAAAACTATGCATTCATTATGTCAATCTATCATTACGTTATGTGAACATATCTTTACGTTATGTAAATTTTTTGTGGGGTGATGTAAAAATATCTTTACATCATGTCAATGCTGCATTACATGAAGTAAACACATTCTTCCATTATGTCGGCACTTTATAACTTGGAGACAAAGTTCATTATGTGAAGTGAAAATATGTTTACATTGTGTTAAAACTTTATTACGTGAAATGAATGTTTCTTTATATTATTTCATTTCTTTAATATGTGAGGTCAAAATTGCATCACGTCAAGTTAATTTCGTTTTACATGTGTTCTAAGATTAAATTTATCATTACATTAAGTCAAAGTTCATTCCCTATTGTGAGTGTATATTTCTGTTATAGCAAAGCATTATTACGTGATGTTAATATATCTTTATTTTACGCCGAGGTCATCACAATGTGAGGTGAGTACATCTTACCCCTATGTCAGTGCTTTATTACGTGATGTAAAAAGGGTTTAACATAATGTGAACATATATTATGGAGACAGTCCCGGCGTTCCATATTATATCAACACTTTATTACATTATGTCAAAACTCCATTCCTTTATGTGGATATTTAATAAGAATATGCTAACTCTTTCTTATGTGATTTAAAACTTTCTTTACATTGTGTTCATTCTTTATTATGTTGATTACAAATGTTCATTACGTTCTGTAAAATACATTTACATTATGTCAAAGTTGATAATTAGGACGAATTACAGACACATTACAGAGGGGGGGGGGGGGTGGTCTGACTTCCTCTTATTTCCGACATAACTTTATCGTAGAAAATGGTCATTGAAATTCAGCCCCACTTTTTGCTGAAGTATAAGGGTAATGTAGTATATTTGGAATTTTTTTTAGGGCTGATCGAAGTTGCCACCCCCCCCCCCTTTCAACCGAAATAGGATTTTCGAGTTTGGATTTTTTTCTTTTTCTTTTTTTTTTTTTTTTTTTTGCTTTTTTTTTGTACGTTAATTTTTTTCTGGCTGACAAACCTTCCCCAACTTTCAAAAACGATGCAACGTCACTGGAATTAGTCATTTTTCAACCATTCCAGGACCAGAATTCTGTTACAAAAATCTACCAGTCCCTCACTTAAATCAATTGACCATGCCTTAGTAAACATGGGCTCATATCAGTGGCGATCTTGGGTTCTTGAAAAGAGTAGCTATAGGGGGACGATATGGTGTCTAAGTTGGGGATCAGGGGGTGAAAGTCCGGAAGCTCTCAGGCTTTAGATTTTTTTTTATAAAACGTTTCAACTTATTTCACTTATACTTTATGTAAAACTAATGCAATGTCCTACAAAGTAAAATCAATTGATTAATTTCATGCATATTTTGGTCACTAAAGATGGGAGGGCGGGATCCCCCCATCTCCCCATCGACCCACCAGTGCACGTATGAAATACTAATGTGTTTACACTTAAAAAAAAAAAAAAAAAAAAAAAAAAAGGGAGGGTTAAAGACTGATAAAAAGCTTAGGACAGTGTTTTATTGTTAGATCAGAAGCTTCGGACTTTAATAATTAATTCAAAATAAAAAGAAAAATATTGCTGCATGACACATACTATTTGATTTGCGGTAATTATGAGATTAAACGACCATTGAATTTCAACGTTAAAAAAAATCGTCAATAAAAAATCCATGGGAACATGATCCTATTTCTAAATTTAACCTGATATTTGATTAAGGACTAATTAAGTCTTGTATATAATTTAATATTTGATATGTTTAATTTAAATTATTTGCATGTTTTACATATGTGCATGTAATATTGAAAACACAAAACGAACTTTTAGGCATAACGTAAACCTTACGTCACACAATAAAGAGTTGAAATATTCTAAGATATACTAACAAGAGGCTAAGCATTTTAGACACAATGTAAAGATACAATGGCATAACATAATAATGATTTGTCAAAAAGTAAGGGAAAATTGACATCGTGTAATAGATTCCCGTCGTCATGTAGCATATTGATGACACAATATAGTAAAGAATTGGCCACATGTGACAATTTTTTTCACATCATGTAATGAAATTCTGACATCGTGTTATAGCGACTTGATATTGAATTAAAGATAAATTCACATCATGTAATGAACTACTTAGACCAAATAGTGGAGAGTGCACATAATGTAATAATGAGTTGAAATTATATAAAAACATCTTTACACCACGTAGAATTGTTTTGAATTAATGTCAGAAAGGGTTGATATAATGCAATGGAAGATTGACGCAATGCAATTGAAGTGCGAGTTAATTCCATAAAGACTTAACATAATGTAATGGAAAGTTGACATAACGCAATAGTAGTGTGTGTAAATGTCATAAAGACTTAACATAATGTAATGGAAAGTTGACATAACGCAATAGTAGTGTGTGTAAGTGTCATAAATAGTTGACATAATGTAATGGAAAGTTGATACAATGCAATTGTAGTGTTCTGCTATAAGGCAGTGACGGCGTTCCATAAAAAACACTTTAAATATTTCATCTAGTCAGAAACCAGACAGGAATCCCTCCTTAAATTAAACATCACAGTGACCTTGAAATAGGACGCTACACACCTCCTACCTAAGATGCATATACTGCAGTATTGGCCGAGTTTGGTGATTCAATACTCTAATAATTTTCTATAGTTATGAGTTTGCCTGTTGTGAATCTGTCAAAACCAGATTTTTTTTTTTGGACTGTAGAGACGATTGTGAGAGTTAGGAGGTGGATA